AGTATATGTGTTTTTTTTTTCGAGTAGATAGCTGGCGCAGAAGCCAATTATTTCCGAATTTGTTATAAAAAAACAAAAAAAAATCGACCTAAATGAAAATTGTACAATTGAAAAAAATAACTAAGAATCTATGTCAAAACAAGATTCCAACGCTAGTTATATCGTTGGAATCGGATAATTAGTTTAGCCATAATGATTTTTTTTATTTTTTAATTACTAAAAACTTTTACTTTTAATATCATGAATATGTCAATTGAAAATTTTTTTTTTACAAAATCCTTTTGGATTTGTGTTAGTGATGTAAAATACTATCGAAAAAATGTATCTACAATCAAAAACTAATTTTGACCTAATTCAGGTGGCCCGTTTGAGAAATTCTGACCCAACTATTATGGCGCAGTCGGTAGGATATTTTGTAGTGGGAGTTTATTAATTACAGTGTTACCTAGTATTATTTATAAATATGACATCTTTTTTCCAATAAAGTTATTTTTATTTACATAAATGTATATTTACAATAATTATTTATTATTGAAATGTAAATTTACAATAATTATAATTATAATAATTATTTATTCAACATTTACAATTTTATTAACACATCAGGAACCCCTAATAATACTTGTGCTAGAGTGTATAATTTATAGATTTATAGCCCGTACTTAAATATTTTTTTGCAAAAACTAATTTTAAAGATTTTTACACACGTGGCCGACTTGTACACACATTTGCCTAGGAGTTCAGGAAACCACGGAAAACAAAATATATATAATTTTTAATTTTTGTAAAAAGAAATTAGGAAGAAAACCGAAAATAACCTAAAAACCCGTTTTAAAGTTAAAGGGTCGGGTTCGGTCTCTAGAGTTACAATTAAAAATAATATGGGTTCGGTTACGGTTACAGTGTAACCGTAACCGTTATACCCTGTATTTTGGTGCGTACAGAAAATATTGTTTTTCGTTTACGGTACAAACAAATCGTTGTCGATGTAACGTGATATTTCCAATAGTAATATACTGATAGAAGAGGCGTATTATCAATAATACCTGTTACACTAGTAAACAATAAAAAAAGGTCGGTAATAAATATAGCTCAGTCCTATAGATTTTGACCTGCTCGACGCAAATCCGGCGCCCAAAAAATTTTCTGTCTCGTTTAGACGATAAGGGCAGGACCATGATACAAAGAAAAATTGTTAAATAATAACGATAAAAATTAGTAAATAAAAAAGGTCGGTAATAAAAATAGCACAATCCTATAGATTTTGACCTGCTCGATGCAAATCCGGCGACCAAAAAATGTTCTAAAGTCTCGTTTAGACGATACGGGCAGCAACATGATACAAAGAAAAATTGTTAAATAATAACGATAAAAATTAGTAAATAAAAAAGGTCGGTAATAAAAATAGCACACTCCTATAGATTTTGACCTGCTCGACGCAAATCCGGCGACCAAAAAATTTTCCAAAGTCTCGTTTAGACGATACGGGCAGCACCATTATACAAAGAAAAATTGTTAAATAATAACGATAAAAATTAGTAAATAAAAAAGGTCGGTAATAAAAATAGCACACTCCTATAGATTTTGACCTGCTCGACGCAAATCCGGCGACCAAAAAATTTTCCAAAGTCTCGTTTAGACGATACGGGCAGCACCATGATACAAAGAAAAATTGTTAAATAATAACGATATAAATTAGTAAACAAAATAATTTGAACGATAAAAAACATCAAAAAAACATGCCTTAAATTATTACAATATGTACAGATATGTTGTTCATGGAATGCTGAAATATAAGTTAAAAGTATCGTCATCTTAAAATTTTCAAATGGTGTATCTATGCAATAAATGGTACCAAAATACTGTGCTCCTATTTTTTATTTACGACTACAGAATTTTTTTTTTAAAACATTTTGGATCTATTTCAGTTATAAACAATCGGAAAATTCTATTTTTAACCAGGACCTTTTTTTTAAGTTAAAATTTGTTGCCTAGTGTTATTTACGAGAAAGCGGTTTTTATTTACGATCTAATCATTAGTAAAAATACCATAGAGTATTTGAAATATTTATGTGAAAATCAGTGAATATATTCTATATATATATATATTTTGATTTTAATTTAGAATAAATCGAGCAAATTAGTGACAATCAAATCAATACAAACAAACCGTTGTCAATGCAACCTGATCTTATCGAGGTTAGAGAAGGATATTACCAGGTAAGATACGTTACCAAGGTGGGTTTGATTGGTTCAATATTCTAGTGTAGTAAATTACCACTAATTCTTTGAGTGTCCACTAAGTGTATATAATGCTGGATTTATGCAGCACAAATTAACATTAAGTTTAAGATTAACATTAACATTAAAAAGTTAAATGAACATAATCCATTGGAAGCTTTTATGCAACACATTAACATTAACTTTAGCATTAAGTTAACATTAAGAGATGGCCAACTTTTATCTTCTTAATGATAATGTTAATTTTTATTCCTCCTGCGCAGGTTTGCGGCGCAATTTTTGAATAAACCGTGTCAGTAATGCCAACATACCCAAAAATAAAATGAAACTGAATGATTGATTTTTTATTCAATGATTGTGTTCTTTGGTTTATTGTTTGACGTGGAGTTTATAGTTTTCATTTATTTTACTTAACAGATGCTAAAACGGGATTAAAACAAAATTCAAACAAACCAAAAATGTCAAAATTACTTTAACTGTTAAATTAATCTTAATCTTAATGTTAAAGTTAATCTTAATGTTAATATGTGCTGTATAAATCCACCATAAGTCTTATTAATACAGTACCTACAGTGTTGTCAGATTAGATTTTTGGTCAGAAGTAGATTTTCATTAAAAAAAACGGTAGAAAACAGTAGATCATTCTGGAAATTGCTGGAATCACTGCTTAAAGAACTCCAGCAAAAAAATTATGATACTATAAATATACAAAATATTTTTGTCTATGCTTATTGCGGAATATGACCATTCTAATATCAGTTTTTAATGTGGAATTAAATACATTCCATAAAGATTTTAAAGAATGAATATTCCAACACGGGTTTCTGTTTAAAAATAATTTGGACCAATCGTGTAATTGCAAACTTAAAACAGTTGTAGGATAAAGTACGCGTAGGAAAAGTATAGTCTGAAACATGTTTCGAATTGCATATTTCATACTATAAATATAAAAAATAACTTCAATGCTATAACTTTAAGTTATTAGATTAGATTACGTATGTATCTAATACAATTTGTATTATATATAATAATATGATATAATTTGTATACAAACTAAAATAAACTTTTGGGCACACACTGTGTTTTAAGAGTAAATTTCAAACTTCAGTAAATTTTTTTGCTTGTGATTTTTAAACTATTTTTATTGTCTTTTAACCAAATTTATTTAGCCTAATTGTGATTTGAACCTAATTGTAAATAAAACAGTAGATTTTAATCCTTAACAGTAGAACAGCCGTCCCTAAACAGTGGACCTGGCAACACTGTACCTGTTACATTGTTACAACAATGCATGACTAAAATATTGAATATTATTCGAATTCAAATTTTAACGAAGGCAGATTTTAACACTTGTTATTTAAGCAATATAAATATAAAAAAACGTTTATTTAAAGACAAATTATTAAATACAATCTTATCTGAGCAAAAAAATTATTATCATCAAACATAAAGTTAACAATATAATAAAAAACTAAACATAATACACTCACAGGCAAAATAATCGATCCACACAAATTTTCGATGAATTTCAATCGCAAATAACTTTTATTTGATGTCGGATTTAAACGATTATTAAAGAATATTGTAAATAAATTAATGGACAATCGCTCACATTTTAAAAAATTACTAAAAAATAGACATACGTTTATAATATACAGGTTTAAACAAAAAGATGTTTTTTACCATAAGTTTAAGACACTCTGTAGAGTGGCAAAACCGTATATTGTTCTAAATTAAGTTTTATTTATCAAGTCACATCTATTCTTAACAGTTTTGTTTTTGGTTCACCTCGATATATTTATTTTTGTGGAAAATATGGATTTTTTAAAAAAACATTGCAATTTCCAATATTTTTCTGTATGAAGAACTAAGGTTGCTATGGTCCATCCAGAGGCTATGGAAAATGACAGTGACAGTTTTGTTCCATACTTGGACATGTCATACACGGCTTTCAAAAGCTATCAAATTGTTTATTGCAAATGTTTAAATTTTGAGGTGTCTTCTTACTTTAAAAAATGGATATGTCTCCGACTGATGTTGCTAGAGCCATTAATTTAATCCAGGATGGACGGTCACAGTATTACGTGGCAAGTGTTTTAAACGTCACAAGAAGTAAAGTACAAAGGGCAACATCAGTCGGAGACATTTTTAAAAGTAAGAAGACACCTCAAAATTAACAAATTAATTTACAAAAAACAATTTGATAGCTTTTAAAAACTGTATATGACATGTCCAAGTATGGGATGATTCAACAAAACTGTCACTGTCATCCTTCATAGGCTATGGATGGACCATAGCAACCTTAGTTCTTCATACAGAAAAATATTGGAAATTGCAATGTTTTTTTAAAACAATCCATATTTTCCACAAAAATAAATATATCAAGGTGAACCAAAAACAAAACTGTTAAAAATAGATGTGACTTGATAATTAAAACTTAATTTAGAACAATATACGGTTTTGCCACTCTACAGAGTGCCTTAAACTTATGGTAAAAAACATCTTTTTGTTTAAACCTGTAGGTATATTATAAACGTACGTGTATTTTTTAGTAATTTTTAAAATGTGAGCGATTCTCCATTAATGTATCTACAATATTCTTTAATATTTGTTTAAATCCGAAATAAATAAAAAAGTTATTTGCGATTGAAATTCATCGAAAATTTGTGTGGATCGATTATTTTGCCTTTGAGTGTATTAAATTAAATTATTATCACTGAATAAAATACAAATGCATTTATTGCTTAAAAATGCGAACTCTAAAGCTAAACAAATCAGTAATGTAATTATCCAGTTGTTCATAAAACATCATGCAATAATTACCTTTTACTTGAAAACTTTCATCCACAGGGGCTAAAGGCATGACTTTGTGTCTAAGAAAATGTCTCAGATTATCATCAGAGTTGTCAATAAAGTCGATTTCGTATTTGAGGTCCTTGCAATTTTCAGCTGGACCAACGCATTGAACGCACCAATACATTTTATCGTTTTCGTATTTAAAAATAAGACGAAACAGACTGCCAGAAAATAAAATAAGAGAGCATTTTTTAGTGTTGGGCATTGAATCCTTCTTCCAATCAATGTTGATTCTGTCCGATTTTAAAATCATATCGTTGTGGACTTTTTCGGCATGGCTGATTATTTCGGCAACGTTGTCTTTCCAGGCGCATTCCACAAAGCCGGCTAGTGGACAGTTGTAAGGACCGAATTTGCAGTATTTCTCGTGCGTTTTAATTTCCGTGTTTTTGCCTGTAAACTTGCATCCGGTTTTTCTGTATTTGCAGGGAAAATCGAAGAAATTTGCGAATTTCTGGAGCGAGTAGTTTTTGGTGTCTTGAATTGGTTCGCTGCATACTATACAATTTTTTGATCTGCAATTATCGCAAACGCTGTGTCCTTTGTGACATTGGTAAATATCTCCCACCATGTACTCTTTACAATTAGGGCATTCCAGCTCTCTGAGTAGCTCGAGATTGACTTCCTTATCCTCAGCCTCTGGTTTGTTAATCGAGACATTAGCTGTTGACGCCTTTTGAATCTCGATACGCGCGATAATAGTTTCGGGTTCGCCGAGCCTTTCTTGCAACAAACTAGCGTCGACTTTGGTCAAATTTTCATCTGATAAACTAGTGGTGTTTTTCTCGGGAAACTTGTGGCTATAGTTGCGGTTACCACTTTCCAGTATCAATCTATAATTGTACTTGTTGGACTCATCATCGACTAGAATATTTTTGACGGAACACCAGAAGAAATTCTTTCTTGAATCGATTTCTTTGTTGACAATAAAAAATGTGTTTTCGTAAACCAAAAGCATATTTTCTTTTTGGCTGCTGCTGAAATTGACCTCGAACTTGAAATCCTTGATGAACTGGGCTGGATGGTCTTTTTCGAAATGATCAGCTAATGTTTTTGAAGATCCTTGCCATTCGCATTTGCTATAGTGTTTGCTGGGGCAATCGAATTGTCTATACTCGCATGTGGATTCGTGCAACCTTAAATCCGCCGGACAATAATTTTCTTTGCATCCATTGTTGGCATTTGCGCATGGAAATACCAGGTATTGAGCTAAACTTTCAAAGGCTTCATCTCTAATTATGTAGTCGTCCTTGACGACTTGGCAGCGGCCGCAAACAGCTGCATTTTCAGTTCCCATCAGGTATATTGGAAATATTGCCAGATAATTTTTGCACGAGGTGCACGTTAGTTTGTCTATGACATCGTTGGGCATTAGCAATTCGGATGCCATTTTCTGTAAATAAATTTTGGAATTAATTTTTTGGAGAACATTCTATAATAAATAATATTACAAGGTTAGAAGTGACTTTCTACTCCTATTACGGAATTTGACCGTTCTAATATCACTTTTGTCTATGGAATGACATATATTCCGTAAAGTGCTACAGAATGAAATATTCTATCATCTGATTACAGAATAAACACTCGTGGCGACATCTCTATTTTTAATATCTAACAAATTTTAGACCGATCCAACCTCACTTTCTTCCAATTAAATTATTTTTCTATGGTATTTTTTGGAAACGTACAAAAAGCATAGCCTGAAACACGTTTGGAATTGCATATTCCGCTCTCGTGAAACCGTCAAACTCGCCTTCGGCTCGTGTGACAAACTCTTCACTCGAGCGAAATATGCTGTATTCCAAACTTGTTACAGAATATACTATTTTTTTATAGGACACATTTGATTAAGTTGGTAGCCAATTTAGTATTACTTAATATTAAAAATTGGTAGTGGTTAATGGCATACTTTCCCGAGTAACGGTGAAAAAATGCCGCCCTTTGTTTCTTCAGATTTTGCTAGTACAAAACCACAAATTATAAAGAAAAAAACAAAACTTTGTTATTTATGGTAATCTGTGGGTACAAAACCCATTATATTTTCCAAGCTGCATTATCTTTGCGGTATAAAAACAAAAAAAAATATATTTCAATTAACGAATTTTAAGTTGAATTTTCAGCCCATTTATAAATGTTATTGTACTGTAATGTAATGTTATTGCACTGGAAGCTTTATTTTTCTTGAAAAGTTTTTGATTTTTTTAGGTATCTGTTACTTTCAGTATAATTAAGGTTATACATCTATCACTGACATTAGAAATTCAAATTTACCAGAGTTACCATAGTTTACCAAAGTTACAACCAGCCGGTCTGCGCGCGAAATTTAAAAGTGAGCGCAGTTTTTGTCGCCTTATCACGTTCGCTGCCGATAACGCGCTGGCGCGTAATACGGTACTTTCGTCGGACGCCAATCACGCCCGAGCGCGTTATTTGACTACTATTGACTATTGACTACTATTTGACTTGTAATGCGGCCATCGGCAATAAAATTTGGCTTCAGTGCCGGTCACGCCCGAGCGGGTGACGAAAAAAATTGAATTAAATTTTTGACAAAAATTATTAAAAACTATATTAAACACACGTTAGGAAACGTTTTATAAATAATATTTTATGGTTGTTATCCAAAAAACGTAGTCGGCTCCTAGGGTGAGTATTAAGTCCCAGACTGGCAGCGAACGTGTTAAGGGAGTTTCCTGTCTCACTTTGCGCTCTTAATGCACAAATAGCTATTTTAAGTAATAATTTTTTAGATTACCGCGAATTAATTCCTTTTTTGACAAGCCTTATCTGTGGTCTGGACTGACTATAATCTATAATATAGATATTATTTTACTTAAATTAGTACGAAAATACACATTATTTATAATTATATCAAGGCTTAATAATAATATTTATTGAGAATTTTTAAAGAATTAAAAAATATTACAGTTTATTTTAAAACTAACTCGATTTAAACGAAACTCGGTATAAAGGTTTTGGGTGGCTGATTACAATTTTGAAAAGTGACATTGCCGCTCTCGCAAGATAGCGTCGCGCGTCAAACTTCTCGCTTAAAGCGGCAATGTCTCACTTTGCGCTCTTAATACACAAATACCTATTTTAAATCATAATTTTTTAGATTACCGCGAATTAATTCGTTTTTTGACAAGCCTTATCTGTGGTTTGCATTTCTGAGAAGGTTCTCGCTTTGTTTTGACTGCGACTTATCTGGTCCAGTTACAATGTATTTTCCCTATGGTTAGCTTGCAAATGAAGGTACGGTATAAAAGAGCAGTTGCCATGATCGAATTTTTATTTTGCCCGCCACAGCCATCTGAAAACAATTGGGCAGAAGAAACATGTTTTTCTTCGTCGAATTTTTTTAAGATCATTACAACCGCGGTGGCAATTTCAGAAGATCAGCGGCCACTAGAACATTCATGCCAAGTCAGACAATAACAGTCACGGACAGGCTGTCATAAATCGTGAAGTTAAAAACAGACAAACTACGTTTATAAAAATGGCATTGTCGTTAGTCGTTAGAAATAGGAAAATATATCACCTGTTGCAAATCGAAACAAGCACAAAACATTCGAAACAATTTTATTTTTGGTCATATTCTATCCTATACAAATAAAGCAAGAAAAAGGAGCATCGCACGCTGAAGTCTCGGAATTTATCTGTTTTTAATAGCGGTAGGCCCTAAGTCAAGATTCCCTCGCACGCTAGTGGAAAAATTATCACAACAAAAAGTCCTATCTTAAGATTGGCCTTTATGCTATAAAAGTACGTGTAAAAATTCAAGATAGGGCCATTTGTTTTGTAAGTTTTATAAAGAAATAATTGAATTTTAAGATGGGACCAATGGCCAAAACAAAGTATACACTAGATAGAAACTAACTCTGATCTTGGCACATTTTGGCCCTATCTCAAGATAGGGCCTTATGCCCTGAGACATATTATGTCAAAAATACTTCGCCATTTTGCCTTCGCCATCCTGTCAGCAACCCAAAAAGCACCAAATACAAAATTAAAAAACAACCCTGGTGATTGAATATAATCAGAATATGTCCGGTGTTGACAGAAGTGACCTTAAAGCTATTATTTTGTTGATATTTGCTTACGGAATGGTACCTATTTGCATAATAAAACTAAGGCCAAAAACTTTCCTACTTACAAATCAGAGAACTAATAACACATGACCTTTCAAGAAGAAAAAGTAATGTGCCCATTATTCCAAAAAGACAGAAAAACGAGTAAAAGATAAGAAGTCAGACATTTTTTGTTTGTGAAATTTGCAAAGGCAATAAAGGACAAATGATTAGGTTTTGTGTAGATCCTTTTTTTGAAGAGTACAATCAAGGCAGCCATTAGATATTTGTTATGTTGTTTTAGATTTCTATTTTTGCTTCCTACTTTTTGTGTCTTGTTACCAAAAAGCTTAATTTGTTATTGCATATAAATATATTTTGGTTTACGTAAATATATATTTTATGTTTCATGAAATATGCATATATGAGACAAATAGTATAATATGGTATTCCGGGTCGTGCTATAGACCAACGTCTCATATATCATATATGAGACGTTGGTCTATAGCATATAATATATTATATGATATATGTGCCGGATCAAAATATCCCTCGGGAACTCGTTGTCCTGTTCGAACGTTGGCTATAACCCGATTGCAGCGCCACCTACCGGGTCCAATTGTGACTAAACCATCCAGGGACCAAGTCAAACACACAATTTTTTTTTATTAAAATCGGTCCAGCCGTTTAGGAGGAGTTCAGTGACATGCATAGTGCACAAGTACAGAAGAATTATATACATAAATAAACATAACCAGGAAATATATAATATTTATTTTCTGCTTATCTTTATTTATGTATATAATTCTTCTGTACTTGTGCATATATTATATTATTAATTATTCGACATAATTTATACGTGGACGACAAAACATGAATACTGTCCTGAAAGCGAATGTGTTTAAAATTGAATTTAAAAATTATAAAAGACATAATCTAAGGAATTTTCATATTACATCGAAAAAACGATATGGCCTTTTTTTAAACACCCTAAGTAAACAATAATAACAACAATTATTGTGAATTTATTTTATGGTTATGCTCTACAGCTTTTCGTTTTCAAGTAACAGGGGGTTAAAACAGTTTTTGTCTAATAACTTTCAAACACTAAAAAAGTTAATGAAATCTTAGCAGTTGCTTTATTTGGTAAATTTCAAGTAGAAATAAAAACCAATTAATTAACTTTGGGGCTGTCTATAAACTATATATTCCCCTTACAGGAAGGGGTTACTGATAAGTACCCGAAATGACACAATGGTGGGGGAGGGCAAAGATAATTATTTTTGGGGGAGGGTTCTAACCATGTGACAATACAAAAAACTTTAATTTGATTTTGTATTCAATTAATTAATGTAACAATAATTGTTCATCCACCATATAAAAACCTTTTTATGTAAGTGAAGTTTTGTAAATTAAAAAACATGGGGTTATTTGACAGTGCTATACAGGTACAAGGGTATGATTTTTGAACATAATTTAAGACAGTCTATGGACAGCTCTTTTGTAGGTTACTCAGTGGCGTACATATGTACAGAAACTGGCGGCTGGTTGTCGACAAATTTAAAATTGTATTTAAAAAATCCAAATATTACAGGTTTTATACCATTTTAAATATTTTTTTATTTTAACAAAATAAATAATAAAAATTTAAAATCGAATAAAATCTGTAATATTTGGATTTTTTAAATAAAATTTTAAATTTGTCGATAAATTATAGTAGATAATAAATTGCACCACTTTAATTTGAATTATCTCAAATAGGGGGGGCTGGAGGCGGGTGAGGCAACAGGAAAAACTAACTTTTTTTCGCAAACTTCAATTTATATTCTGTTTGCGCCGAACTTGTTTATTTAATGTCATTATAAACTATTATAAATTTGGTGTGGGTCCCATGTCTAATAACTGAGATATTGGTATACATAAAATCCACCAGCCGCCACTTTTATCTGTTACTACAGTAGTAACTACAGATAAAAGATAACACTATACTACAGATAAAAGATAACAAAAAAATGGTACTCCATTAGTATTATTATTTGCATATCTATATAATATAATACCGGGTGTATCTGAGAATAGGCGCACCCCTGTAACTTTTTTATTTATTAAGATGGACACATGAAATTTTGCATGGTTAATTAGGATATAAAATGCCACTTATAAAAGTACAAAATGAATTTTTTGAACTTCCGCTTTCGCCGGAAATGATACCAACTTTCGATTTTTAAATGGAATTCCCTATATATTTTTACATATTTTGAATCCTAAGGAAATTCAGAGTCAGACAGCATCCTCAAATGGATCTTTTGACGTTTTGTCATCAGAAAATGTATTATCACAAAGATCAATCTAGAGTGCTTGGAACTATCTTATTTTCTTCTAATGGATCCACACAATGCCTGAAAAATAGAACTTGCCTTAGAAAGTTGTTATTCAGCTATTCCCAGCAGTCCAAACTTGTCAAAATTCGTTTTTCTCAAATAGTTCAAAGCACTCTATAGATTGATCTTTATGATGATGCATTTTCTGATAACGAAACGTCGAAAGGTCAATTTGAGGATGCTGTTAGACTCCATTTAAAAATCGAAAAATTCATTGTGTATATCTTTATAAATAAAAAAGTTACAGGGGTGCGCCTATTCACAGATACACCCGGTATCTTATATTATTTCCACCAATTTTTCACAATTACACCTAAAATATATTCATTTAATTTATCCTATAGTTGCAACTTTAAGCTTTCTAAAATGGTTGGAAAAAAATTATGATAATGGCTCAAAAAGGTTTTTCAAAATAAATAATATACCTAAAGGTATTAAACTAACATTATTAACAATTTTAGTTTTAAAAAGGCAATTTAGCAAAAAGCTTAAGCTTAAATTTAAAGAACAATCGGGGTAGAGTTGGGTTGGTTCTGACGATCAGTGGTTGTGACCAGTGACTGACAGTGTCTGTCAAACTTACTAAGGTTACGGTACGTCCGTTTATTGGTTAAAAGAATGTTAAAAAGAACTTTCCTTAGCATTAAGCATCTAATAGGTTTAAAGATTTAAATTTAACAAAAAAATTGAAACACACTGTATAGATGGTAAAAAATTGTATACTTTTATCAAGATTGTGATTTAGAATTTTTACCTTTTATGTTACTTTGGCCTTATTGTGCTAGAATAACTGATGATCTCATACTTAAACAAGTGTCCTATCCTTTTATCGGGCTTTCCCCGATATTCTAACCTTAAATAGTTACAAATAATAACCATTGATTTGTAAGAAACCAAATATTAAAAATTTCCAAATAAAACAAATTTTCTTACCTTATTTTGTGTTTTCCTAAATTTTACAAGATTTTGTTACTAAACTAAAACTTTTAGAAGGTGAAATAATACCAGAGATATGATAATGAATAATACAAATACGAGCAACAAGTTGCAGCGATCGAGATCATTTACGTTTGCGACGTTGCCAATGTGATATTAAAAAAAAATCCGATTATATGGGTGATAAAAAATTTAATGTAATAATCAAATTTGATAATTGTATTGTTCAAATTTATGAAAATAATTAATTTAATATGTAAGTACTATAACAAAATTACTAACTAAAGTGAGTTTTTTTTAAATGGCCGCAATAATTGCAGCGCAATTAAAGCCGAGTCTACAATTGTCGCAGAACATAAGCTCGAGCAAAGCACCCAGCTGACAAAAGAACCTTGCCCCATCGCCACGTCGCGGAGTGCTTTGCGCAAGGCTTGCGTTCTGACCCGGCTTTACAAATTTTCTTAGTTCCTTAATTTTGAAACGCCCTGTGGTAAAAACCATTTTTTAAATTTAGATATTTATGAAAATTTAATTTTATAAGGGTTAAATATGCCTATTTATATTTCAAATATAAAAAATTTTGCCAATTTCATTTCACTCTACTTCCTTGCTTATTTTTTATCTTGAACAAAGCCGTTAACGTCAACATTATTTTCTTATAGGAAAATTACTGAGAAATCATTTAATAAAAACGCTTTTAATGTTATCACTTAAATTACTCATTTTATGCCAAAATATTTATAATTATAATTAATGTTTTAGTAAAAAACAAAATTTAAGATAAAATCAAAAACAATTGTTAACATTTACATTAAAGCACAGAAATAATGAAATAAAAAATTACAAAAAAAAAAAAAATATTTATTGAATAAAAAATAGTTTATTGGCAAATATGAAAGGAGTACATAATATTTAATAATAAAAATACAAATTACTTCAAAATTGAAATTCTAAATCCAAATTGATCAGTTATTAAGTTTTGTATTTGTTGATAGCTGACAACTTGAAAAATGTTTCCCAACTCAAATGCCATATTTTTATCAGTAAGTTCATTGCATTGATCAGTAAAATAGAATCTTCTTTTTCCTCCTGAGCAATCTATTATATCAATTTCATAGCTATATTCAACACTGTCTTCCTGAGGACCAACAAGCTGAAGAGAAAAATAAAAAAATTGATCAGCAAACTTTAAATGCAAAATAAAAAGCTGAAAATCGTATTTTAAAATGAAACAATCTTCCATGTCTGTTGCATTAAAGGGCATAACTACAGTCTCAAGTTCTAGCAGGTTTTCCAAATGTTTTTCCTCCACGTGTGCTGGCATTTCTAGTATGTTTCTCATCCAATTACACCTATCATATTCTTTTAATGGACACACAAATTCTCCAAACCTACATTTACTCTCATGGTTTCTGATAATATTGAATTTTCCCTTGAATGTGCACAAATCAAATTTGCATGGATAAGTCATCATTCTTGAGATTTTTTCAAGGGCAAAATTTTGTGTATCTTTTATACCATTTTTGCATGTGGGACACTCCTTCACCTGGAGGCTGCATGGTTTGCAAATACTATGCCCTTTTTCGCATTGCATAATTGGTGGAACCATGTAGAAAAAGCACACTGGACATTCAAGTTCATCCAATAACTCTGTATTCATGGCATCAGCAATTATTTTTTTATCCTCAACTTGTTTTGCTTCATATTTTTTGTATAACTCGAAGTATACTTCTATGGCAGCAGGGTCTTTTAATGCCTCTTTTATTTCTTTAATAGTATGTATGCTTTTTTCAAATATTTTAAATTCAAATGAGGCTTTATCCTGTTTGTTAACCGATTGGAATTTTAATTTGCAAATAAATTTCTTGCTCTCTGGATTGCTTCCAAGATAAGTAATTTTAAAACTACACAACCCTTCTTTAGTGTTCGTGTTTATATTAACAATGTAATAATCATCAAAATATGGTAATAAATAATTATTTTCATAGTTGTGAACAAAATTGATTTCAACTTTAGAGTTTTGCATAATGTAAGTTAAATGATTTTTTTCAAAATGAGCAAATATATCAATGGAAAGTCCTTGCCAGTTGCATTTATTATTTTGAATGACTACTGGACAACTTATTTTTCTATACTTGCAAAATTGTTCATGATCTGGCACTTTCGAAGGAATAATGAACTGCATACAACCTTGTGCATTGTTAAGACAAGGAAATTTATTTATGCTTGCCAATTTTTCGTATATTTCATTTCTAAGAGACATTTCGGGGGGCAAACATCGTCCACAATAATTTCCATTTTCATTTGTATGTATTGGGAAGTATGATAAACATCCTTCACAAGTAGAACATACCAATGTTGATCTTAAAGCTGTTGTTAAAAATGTATCAGACACCATTTTTAAATCCTAAAAAGATAAAAAATATCTGTAAAAGAATGCTGTTATGACGTAAAATTTACGTTCATAAAAGCTATTACAACAATTTTGAAGGTACAAGAATAAAAATCATAGAAAATAGATTACTAATATTAAGATCTCTAATAATACTTACAAATTTTTGTACATCACCGACAAAAGTTTGTTTAGAGGTTAACACTTTGTTGTCAAATAACCCTAAACTTTAAACGTTGTAATAATTACATCAATATTAGGTAGTTTCACAACTAGGATTATGTCAAAACAAAATAAATTCACAATGAAATCATTCCCTTAAGTTAAAATAAAACATGCTTATCAAAAGTAGAATTGCAACGTTGCATTCACAGAACAAACCATGGTTGCATTCAGCAGTATTTAAATGTAACGTCCTCGTTCCAATACATATGCATTTTATTGTTTTGAAAAAACTTCTGGGACCCTTTAAGTTAAAGGGTCCCAGAAGTATTTTCAAAACACTAAAAGCTTTAACCCAGAGTCTGCCTATCTCGTTTCGCGCATACTAAAATCACGAAGTTAGGCAACCAACTACACAGACTTTAAATCATAGAAAAAGGATTATAGTAGGTATATTATGTATCAAGTTTGATAAACGCCATTTTATACACGAATTTAATTTAGGCACGAGCGAGCTTGCGAGCGAGTGCTTAAATTAATGAGTGTATAGAAAAGTTTATAAACAAGGTGCATACTATACTTTTTCTACGACAAATACTTAATATTATCTTAAAATGATTTAAATCAAAAATTTGTATAGAGCGCCATCTGTGAAACAATAGGGGAAACTGTGTTTCACCGTCAAATGTCACATTTTTTTATTTTATAAACACAATTATTCTTTTTCTATGGTTATAAATCGAAATGTATTTTTTGAAAATTGACAGTTTTTCACAGTGAAAGTAAAGAAAATGTTTTTTGAGGACTTTACAGTAGAGTCCGTGCCCGAATTTAAGTTATAGTTTACTGCCGGCGAAATTAAAATGTCAGTAGGTACAATGTTCATATAAACTTTTCAGATATTGGCGTTGAGAGACTATTTAATACTTTTGTATTTTTGTATTGAGATAATAAAATAATTTTCACATTTAGTATTATTTTACAAGAAAGGCACTTTATTTTAACGATTGTATGACATTTGACAACTGTCACCTAACTTAAAACTAACTTCAGCCCGTGACTAAAAACCTGTTGCTAACTTCAGCCCGTGACTAAAGCGCCATAAAGCCACAACTTGTCAATGTGTATTTAAAAGGTCACTTAGTGTCATGGAAACATGTACGATAAAGGGCGCTTTAAAGGTGGAAGTAGAAAATAGTATATTATGTATCAAGTTTGATAAACGCCATTTTATACATTTAAGTTAATGACTCATTAATAATGAGTGTATAGAAAAGTTTATAATGAGTGTATAGAAAAGTTTATAAACGAGGTGAATATCCTTTTTCTATGGTGCACACTACAGGGTGAGTTTTAAGTTGACGCGTTCCTTTTAACAGTGTGTAGAAATCAGCTAGACAAATAAATATTTTAAGTAAATTTTTTATCAAAACTCAAACATAAAAAATTTATAGCCCATCAAAGTTTAATTAAATTTTAAGCCGGTCCTGGCTATTGTTAACGAAAAACAACCATAAAAATATCAAAATAAACAATGCAAAATGTCATATTTGACAACAAACATAACCATTTAAATCAAATTGACATTTTGCAATAAAAAATGTCATTATTTACTTAAGTTGCAGCATTTGCATTTTGACGACACTCTCTATAAATTATTAACATTTCCACTAATTCATTATTGCTATAATTATGAACCATTTTAAAAAATAATTGAGGCACAAAAAAACTGACATTTTTCATTGCTAAATGTCATTTTTATTTAAATGCACGGTCTTCAGGGTTGGGTATCTATTTACATTTTTGTTTTCGACATGTAGAAAACCTTTTTCGACGTTTTCGACGGTAGAAAACGTAAAAAAGTAGAATACTGTCAAATATCAAAAAATGTGAGGTTATGCAAGTTTGTTGTTTATTATGATTTGTTAAATGTTGTGAAAAATCAGACACCTACCATAAATTTGAAGTTATTTGGAGTTTTTTAACATTATTATGGTGGAAAAAAAAGGGCCACGTTTGGTTGGGAGACCCCAACATAATTTTTGGCATGAGGGCAAATTTTTATCAATTATAGAGAAGTGGAAGGAGAAGGTCGAATATATACCTTATAAGGTAATTTACGTAGGTAGAAAACCCTATAGGTTTTCGACGCAAGTCGAAAACAAGTTTTCTACCCTTTTCTACCAAGGTAAATTACCTAAGGTTTTCTACTGACCCAACCCTGACGGTCTTATATACGTATATAAGACCGTGTTTAAATGGTTATGTTTGTTGTCATAGATGACATTTTGCATTGTTTATTCGCCGTGACTAGGTGCACGTTAGAGTGCCCGCAATTTATTTTTTACGGGCACGCTAGTGACGTAATAGATAAAAAACGTCATCACTGCCGTGCCGCTTAATTTAAAATTGGCGGCACAACAATAATATAATAATAAATTGTACCTGTATACATGTTAAGGGCACGTTAGTTACGTCATAAAACCAAACCAACCCAAACTCAACAACACAACCCAACCGACCCCGCCCCATTGAGCAAAAAACCCAACTAAAATGGGCAAATTTATGTTACGATAAAAATAAAACACTTTTTAACAAAGGAACAACAAATTTTTGAAATAAAAAAATAAAAAGATTTCGACAACTTCTAGTAGATTCTATGTTACGATATAAACAAAACAAACCAACAAACCCAACCCAACCGAACACTTTTTAACATAAAAGCAACAAATTTATGAAATAAAAAAATTTCGACAACTTCTGAGGATCGAACCCGGGACCTCTCGCAAGCAACCGCCCTACCATCTAAGCCAAGATACATACACCTTAACACGTTAAACGCCACGGCGTTATTGGTGATTTTGTTTATGGGGCCAAGTTGATATTATACTTGTATCATTTTAAAAAATAAAATCGTCAAAATACAGATTAAAAAATAAATAATTAAAAAACTCTTCTATCTTCGTTAGCCGTCAGGGCCAAGCGGTCCTATGCATGCTTTAAAATACCTTATACGAGCGTTCCGCTGGCCAGAAAATCATGTTAAACTGTTAAACAAAAAATTGACAGGCGGTCCCTAGGGACCGCCGTGGCCTGGATGGAAAGAGTATTAGCGGTCCCCTGGGACCGCCGTGGCCGTTAACGTGTTAAGATAGGATGGTGCGCATGTTGGGCGGGGCTTAATGACGTCACTTGATGAGTGGTTTTAAATCTTTAACGTGCTTTTTAATTATCTACTGCTAAAATTCTTGTTTTTGCGATGCTTTTGGATGTTAACTTGCTCTACTTTTTGTTTAACTTGTCGTTTTTGTGTTCGGTAAGGTTCGAATTACTTTTCAGCGTTCAAATTATTGTTATTGCGTTAGGTTAACCTGTTAGGTTTGTTTATTATTGTTTTTGTGTTGCGTTAACTTGTTTTGTTCGTGTTTTAGATTGTATAGTGCCATATGCATTTGTTAAAATGCGGTGTGGCATATTTGGATGCAATTCGGACAACCAGTCCAAGAAAAACCCTTTAAATAAAAACATTAAATTTAATTAATTCCCGAAAAACTTTTATTTGTGGAAACAGTGTTTAAATGCCACAAAAATAATAGACAATATTTACGTTAAGACCGCTTCTGTTTCCTATAAACCTTTTCTGGACAGTGACTATAAGTTTAATTTAAATAAATAATAAATAAATAAATAAAAACGACTTTATTAATTCCTTAACCAAAAATTACATAAACCAAACAAATATGCTTCAGTATGGCGAAGTCTAGCTTTAAGCTATTCTACTCAACCACTAGAAGCCAAAAGAAAAAAAGTACATGACGGCAGGTCGAACATAAATTCTCAACAATTATGTAAGTACATATACATATATGTATAGATAGTTATCATATAGATAAGGAAACAAAAAAAAACGTACAAGGAGCACACAATATTTCAAAAATCAGTTCACAATTATGTTGCAAATAGGTATTCTTTCAGTTCTTTCTTAAATTTTATCATTGTTAGATTTTTAAATGTACTGGGCAGCGAGTTATATGATGCTATTGCATTATAAACATAGCTTCTTTTAAAAAGCGCAGTTCGATATTTAGGGATTGACAATAGGTTATCACTCCTTAAATTAATACATGAACGGGTATTTTGACGAGTTATAAATTTAGATTTTAGAGGGGTAGAGTGGGGACTTTGCAAAAGCTGATGGGTAAAATTCATCAAATGAAGTTTCATACGCTTGTCCATTTTTAACCAAGATAATTCCTTTATTTTTTCAGAGACATGATCGTATTTTCTAAGGTTAAAAATAAGTCTACAGCAGTTATTTTGAATTTTTTGTATTCGAGTTTTGCACGCAACATCTAAGCATGTGCCGTAAACAAAATCACAGTAGTTAAAATTTGATAAGACTAAACTTTCACATAAATTGCGTTTCAATGTTTTATTAAGAAAATGTTTGTTTGAGTAAAGAAGTTTAAGGCTTAGAAACGATTTTTGTATTAATTTTTTAACATGCTCACGAAATCTTAGCTCAGTATCTAGTATGATTCCAAGATTTCTAGCGGAGTCGACGACTTTTAGAGGAGTGTTATCAATTTGCAAAGTAAGCTGCTGTTTTAAAGTAGATACTTTATCTTTTGTACCAAACAAGAGGACATATGACTTACTGGCGTTTAATTTAAGGTTATGTTCTAGTGAAAGCCAGGGTTGGGTCAGTAGAAAACCTTAGGTAATTTACCTTGGTAGAAAAGGGTAGAAAACTTGTTTTCGACTTGCGTCGAAAACCTATAGGGTTTTCTACCTACGTTAATTACCTTATTCGATCTTCTCCTTCCACTTCTCTATAATTGATAAAAATTTGCCCTCATGCCAAAAATTATGTTGGGGTCTCCCAACCAAACGTGGCCCTTTTTTTCCCACCATAATAATGTTAAAAAACTCCAAATAACTTCAAATTTATGGTAGGTGTCTGATTTTTCACAACATTTAACAAATCATAATAAACAACAAACTTGCATAACCTCACATTTTTTGATATTTGACAGTATTCTACTTTTTTACGTTTTCTACCGTCGAAAACGTCGAAAAAGGTTTTCTACATGTCGAAAACAAAAATGTAGGTAGATACCCAACCCTGGTGAAAGCTTGTTAATTTTATTTAGATCATCATTAATTAGTAGTTCGGCATTGTTTGCGTTTTTTATA